GGGGGAGGGGGGCGAAAATCCTGGGACACCGTATCAAAAATTGAGCATAGTGTAAACGGGGCTTAAAATGCGGTACCCTATATACAAATAAAACTTCCGGCGTTTATGGCCCACAAGTAAAGTTATATTTTAAATGTAACTATTGTCAAAATGAAGAGAGAAGTGAGACGAATCCACTGGTATACGGCCGAAAAAGAGAAAACCAACGATACCAAAGTTATCAAGGATCAAACGTACTGTATTTTTTATAGTTTGAGCGATTTGTCAACAAATAATACAATTTCGCTTGGCTTTCAAAGACAAAGGCCATGAATCGCTAGAATACTGTTGTCAGTTGTTTAGCTAGTAATACATTTGACATCCGTAGGTACAATTTCTCATTCGTATAAGTACAATTTCTTTAAACGCTGAATCGAACGGTGGTATTTTTATCCTTATTGCGCCATTAGGCATAAAGCCCTGATTCCACAAGCGCTTTTTGTCAGCGAAATGCGAAATATTTCGCCTGTTTCTTTTGAATTGTGAGCAATCAAGTAGAAATAATTTATTCGAGTGGTCGCAATTCAAAAGAAACAGGGAAATATTTCGCATTTCGCCGACAAAAAGCGCTCGTGGAATCAGGCCTTTGCAAATACAAGGTCGGGACAAACGGCGAGTGATTTGTCAACAATACCGTACTGCGAGCGATTTGTCAATACAATTTCGCTTGATCTTCAAAGGCCATAAATCGCTAGAATACTGTTGTTTAGTAATTCATTTGGCATCCGTAAGTACAATTCCTTACGCTGAATCGAACGGTTGTATTTTTATAAAAAACAATAGACACTCCGAAAATAGTTAACATTTTATTCAACATTTCGACTAGGTTTAAGTCATCATCATAATTTGTTTTGTTCTTTTTAAAATTACTCAATGGTATTTTTATTCTTATTGCGCCATTAATAGGCATTGCAAATGCAATATCTATTTCACACTGAGTACACTGCAGTTTTCACGGACTATTGTTCGATAAATCTCATATTGATATGACACCAATATGCTTCTCAGACAGTAGTTATTTATTAAAACTACGTTGTGCAGTTTAAGTTATAACCTTTTACCTTGAAATTGTCTTTGGCTCGTTTATATTCAGATTCAGTATATTATTTATATCGTGCACGGAAATTCAACGATCCAAATTTCGGATTTTCAGAGTCGTGCACCAAGAAAAACGCATTAAATAAACTAGCAAGAATGTCCAGAGTTAGACACAATGCAAAATCCATAGAAAACAGGTACAATTGATTCAAACTTTTCCCGAAATTGTTTGAAACATTTTGCCCACTCCACGAAAGTCCCCGCCATTTTGAAAAGGATCAAGCAGCTCATTAATATTCTATTTTGTGGCTATCGACGATCCACTATTGCCGATCCGTGAAAAATGCAAGCCGAAACCTATACCCGTCTGGGGCACAGATGCCCCAGCGAGTAATAAATCTACCGTAATCTGTCTAATCTCTGTAATACACCCCACTTCCGGGGGCTACTTTTTGCGGCACCTTTGAGGAAGGGGAAATTATTGAAGAGGGAAAGCTTGAAAAAAGAGAAGGGGCTCATTTAATATCTGTAAAATGATATAAACTTGTTTATAAATAAATTTGTGTGGAGAAAATTAATAAATCTTTATAGCTGAAGACTTCCGGGTTCTTGTGGGAAGAGGAATGAATAAATTTATTCACCTGAAAACGGAGGCGGTTATTAGAGAGGGGGCCTTTAATATTTCAAGACGGCTTAATAGGGCGAATACAGTAACTTTACAATATATAATATTGCCATCAGTAATAAAATGAAGCAATATCACTATAAAAATGTAATAATCATTTCATTACACTATAAATAATCCAAACTTAATAAATTTCCAACGAAAAACAACCGATAATTACAAAATGATCTCAGTTGATAAATGGATCCCTCAATCAACAGGCGTGAATCATCACCAAATATCGATGCCATTTTATGTACGGAACAGTTTATACTGTATTTAAAAAGAATAAAAACAATCACAAAACAAATCAAACAATTTACTGTCGTTCCAATTGAAGTGTTGCTCAAATATTGATTCAATACATTACCTTGGGCTGACCAATTCATCTGATCAAGTTCCTCGAGATATTCATGCACTTCCTGTGAAAGAGCCAATTCCAAGTATTTGATCATTTCTGGTCACTTAATTAATTCCTTTCTATTTATGATTGGTTAGTGGCACAAACAACAAAGGTGATTGGCGCATTCAAAGTATTCAACAGGTATGAATATCTCGAGGAACTTGATGAAATGAATTGATGAAATTGAATCAATATTTGAGCAACACTTCAATTGGAATGACAGTAAACAATCCCAAACTGATTTCAAGATAAATTTGAAAAAGAACGTATTGCTCAAAATAGTGTCAATTTATGTTGCCTAGCTAGTGAGGCAGCACATTGTCATGCATACTCATATGATCTTCAAGTTCAGTGGCAATTTCAAACTCGGCATCACAGACACAACAGATATAACCAATACCAGTTGCTTCTCTTGCTTCTAATTCCTTACAAATATCACATTGGTAGGATGTACCATGGTCTTTGGCCTTGTGCTGATATAAACTTTCAATATCAGGGAACTGTTTGTTGCATTTGCCACAGAGAAAAGGATCATCACTCAGTATCTCAGTAGCATGTCCTTGATCTCGAATAATTTCTTTGCCACAGGTGTGGCACAATAATAAGCCATCTCTCAAGTGTGATCTCCAGTGACGTTTGAAACTTTGTCGTTGTGTGAATGTTTTTTTGCAGATACCGCACTCAAAGTTCTCATTTCTCTTGTGTGCTGATACTTTATGTTGTGTTAATTTGTGTGATTCTGAAAATCTCTTGTTGCAAACGTGACATTCATAAGGTTTCTCTCTGGTATGTGTTTTTTTATGGGTAGTTAAGTTGCTCGATTGTGAAAATCTCTTGTTGCAAATATCACATTCATAAGGTTTCTCTCCAGTGTGTGTTCTCTTGTGGGCAGCTAAGGTGCATGCTTGCACAAATTGTTTTTTGCAAACATCACATTCATAAGGTTTGTCTCCAGTGTGTGTTTTCTTATGTACAGTTAATTGACCTGACTGCGAAAATCTTTTGTTGCAAACATCACATTCATAAGGTTTGTTTCCAGTGTGTGTTCTTTTATGAACCGCTAACGCGTATGATCGCAAAAATCTTTTGTTGCAAACATCACATTGAAAAGGTTTGTCTCCAGTGTGTGTTGCCTTATGAACTGCTAAGTGGCTTGAGTGTAAAAATCTTTTGTTGCAAACATCACATTCATAAGGTTTCTCTCCAGTGTGTATTCTCTTATGAACCGCTAACACGTCTGATCGCAAAAATCTTTTGTTACAAACATCACATTCATAAGGTTTGTCTCCAGTGTGTGTTCTTTTATGTTTTAGCAAAGAGCTTCTGTGTGAAAATACCTTGTTACAAACATCACATTTCCTAGACATGGTCTCAGGCTTTCAGCTTCTGATCTTTAATAGTCCCACGTATGCTCAGACGCGCACTCAAATTTGGATTAAAAATATCACCCAAGTGACCCAACTGTTCCCTCGAGTCTTTCTTTATTGAATCTTTTTAATACTTCGGTTCTACAGAATTTCTGATCATAAAAATGAGAATATTCAGACACAGTTTGCAAACAACACGAGTATCAAAATATGGCGCCAGAAAGAATTCATGTGGTGTTTCCACTTTAGAAAAATAAAAAATATTGATGTGCGAGTCTGCGAGATTTCGCGACAGACACTGGAGAACAAAAGCAATAACATGAACGAAAAATTAAATTAATCCACCCTCATGGGAAGAGATGGACTCGTTTGAATGGAGAAAACTAATACATCTTTGTCGCAGCGATTTGTTCTGCCAAACCAATCAGTCTGTATTTCATGTTTTATATTTCACTATAAATGTGGAAGCCATGTTTGCGCTAGATGGTAACTCTAATATAACAAAATGGCTGATAGTGATGTACTTGAAAAATACAGGGAGAAATTCGACGTTTCGAGCGAAGTTAGTTCGTCGGGAAGTTAGTTCTTCGTCGAAAAGTTTGCCTACTAACTCCCAGACGAAGGACCTTCGCTCGAAACGTCGAATTTCCCTTGTATTTTGCACGCACTTCCATTCCTATCAACCGGGAAGTTTTGCTATTATTGCCACTAATAGTCTACACTGAGACCGTTCAAAATTAACTCTCATATACAGAATTATAACCACTCACCTGTTACATCTTCGTTTTCATTATTTTTCTGCTAATGTTCTGACAGTCCCGATATTTATAAGCGACAAAATAAAGTGTTCACCTTCAAGCAAATAAACAAAGTCGTCACAAAAGCCAGGCGGGAATTGGGAAATTTCCCGCCAAGAACAAATTCACTCATACCGTATTTACTCGTTTGAGCGCCGCCCCCGATTGAGCGCCGCCCCGAATGAGCGCCGCATTTGAGATCAATTTTTTTTAAAGAGCGCCGCCCCCGAATGAGCGTCGCACTAAACAGTGTTAACAGTGTAGAAACTTTCCACCGTCAAAATGGGGACATTTAGTGACAAAGACATTTAAAACTTGTTTATTTTATTGTTAGAAATTGCGGTTGCCATAGAGTATTTTAATAAAACACAAAACAATAGACACTCCGAAAATTGTACTTGTAATTCTTTATGAAGAATTACAATATTTACAATTTTCAGAGTGTCTATTGTTTTGTGTTTTATTGTTAAAAGTTCTTGTTATAATTCACAAACGAAAGTTTTTTTAAAGAGCGCCCCCGCCCCCATGGAGCGCCGCCCCCCATTGAGCACCGCCCCCGAATGAGCGCCGCATCTGAAGATCTGAAAATTTCAAAGAGCGCGGCGGCGCTCAAACGAGTAAATACGGTATTTTCTTCGTTGTATCATTTGATTGGACGTAACATTTTCCCGCGTGTGAGAAAAATTCACTGTGACCAGATTTGGTAAAAAGTTTTACTTCTGGTAAAATTTCGTGCATTTTCGTAAATTTTCAAGAAAATTTGGTAATAAGTTCTTCTGGTAAAATTTTGGTAAAATCTGAAAGGTTTTAATTATTAACAATCATTTTGGTAAAAATGTGTGTTTCTTGTTTAATAACGTGCTCAAAGTGACGAACAGAACTGCAAGCCTGAGAAATAATACCGAACAAGTTTAAAGAGCGCATCTCTATACGGTGAATAGGAGTATACAAATCCGCCGATCCGCCCAAATTTGAAGCAATCCGACAATGGTCTTGTCTAAATTTGAATCCGCTACAGACGTCACAATCCAGGATCCGAACTAAACGGCAAGCTAAATCCACAATCCGAGCCAGAATATTAGATAAATCCGCAATCCGCTGTATTAATAAGATCCACAAATCCGTGTAAAATATTCGCCAGATCCGAAATCCGAACATTTTTTTCTGTGAAATCTGACGATCCGAAAACCTATTCACCCCCCCCCCCCCTATACAGTACTGTACATTTATTATATTGTTGGGGGGGGGGTATTATTTTTTAGAATTGATGTGAAGGGGGTCATTGAATTGTTTTGTGATGCAGGGGGTGGGTCAGGACATTTTGTTTAGTTATTAATTAAATTTTGCCAGCCCACCCCCGGTCATAAATAATGGTCTCTTAAGCCTTATCATTAACAAAAACTGCAATATGATGAAAGCAAGAAGTATTTCTTTTTGTGCATATTTTAGTTTTCTACTTTGATGACGCAACTATTGTTTTTTGGCATTATTATGACGCAATTATTTGGGAAGCTGACATTCGGTAAAACTTTTCTTAGTTTAGTAAAATTTGAACAAAATTTTGGTAATGACTGCTGAAAAAATCTGTTCACAGTGGAGAAAATCCTTTCCCTTTCACCACTGGCTTTGCGAAGCGAGATTTCTCGCAAGTTAACCATTTGGAAAACTCAACATCCATAAGAATAAGTCTACCGTAATCTCTGTTATACCCCCTACTGGGACCTACCTTTTGAGGCACCTTTGAGGAAGGGGGAGAGGGCTTATTTATTTATTTGTAACATGATATAAATTTGTTTATAAATAAAATTTGTGTGCAGAAAATTCATAAACCTTAGCTGAAGACTTCTGGTTTTTTTTGTGTAAACAGAGAGGGGATTTTAGGATTTAATAAAATTATTCATCTAAAAGTGTTATTAGAGGGGGGACCTAATTTCATGATGGCTTAATAGGGTGAATACAGTAACTTCGGAAAATATAATATTGCCATGATAAAATAAAGTAATATCACTATAAAAATGTAATAATACTTTAACAACATTTCATTACACTATAAATAATCCAAACTTAATACATTTCCAACCAAAAACAACAAATAATTACAAAAATGATCTCAGTTGATAAATGCATTTCTGAATCAACAAATCAGTCACCACGATAATATCAATATTATTTTCAGTACCAAACAGTTTATACTGCATTTCAAAAGTTTTAAAACAATCTCAAACAAGTCAAAAACAATCCCAAATCAATTTTAAGAGAAATTTCAAAACAACATATTGCCCAGAACATTGCCATGCATACTCATATGATCTTCAAGTTCAGTGGCAATTTCAAACTCGGCATCGCAGACACAACAGATATAACCAATACCAGTTGCTTCTCTTGCTTTTAATTCTATACAGACATCACATTGGTAGGACATACCATGGTCTTTGGCCTTGTGCTGATATAAACTTTCAATATCAGGGAACTGTTTGTTGCATTTGTCACAGTCAAAATGATCATCACTCAGTATCTCACTAGCATGTCCTTGACCTTGAATAATTTCTTTCCGACAGGTGTGGCACAATAATAAGCCATCTCTCAAGTGTGATCTCCAGTGACATTTGAGACTTTGTCGTTTTGTGAATGTCTTCTTGCAGTTATCACATTCAAAACTCTCATTTATCTTGTGTGCTGATACTTTATGTCGTGTTAACTTGTGTGATTCTGAAAATCTCTTGTTGCAAACATCGCATTCATAAGGTTTTTCTCTAGTATGTGTTCTCTTATGAACTGCTAAGTGGCTCGAATGTGAAAATCTTTTGTTGCAAACATCACATTCATATGGTTGGTCTCCAGTATGTATTCTCTTATGAACGGTTAAAGTGCTTGCAATTGACTTTGAAAATATTTTATTGCAAACATCACATTCATAAGGTTTGTCTCCAGTATGTGTTCTCTTATGAATGGTTAAAGTGCTTGACTTTGAAAATCTTTTATTGCAAACATCACATTCATAAGGTTTGACTCCAGTATGTGTTCTCTTATGAATGGTTAAAGTGCTTGACTTTGAAAATCTTTTATTGCAAACATCGCATTCATAAGGCTTGTCTCCAGTGTGTGTTCTCTTATGTACAATTAAGTCGCTTAATTTAAATTGTGAAAATCATTTGTTGCATACATCACATTCATAAGGTTTGTCCCCAGTGTGTGTTCTCTTATGAACCGCTAGCCCATCTGACCGCGAAAATCTTTTGTTGCAAACATCACATTCATATAAAGGTTTGTCCCCAGTATGTGTTCTTTCATGTCTAGCTAAATGGCTTGATTGAAAAAATCTTTTGTTGCAAACATCACATTTATAAGGTTTGTCTTCACTGTGTGTTCTTTTATGTTTTACCAAAGAACTTCTCTGTGAAAATACCTTGTTACAAACATCACATTTCCTAGACATGGTTTCAGGCTTTCAGCTTTTGATCTTTAATAGTCCCACGTATGCTCAGATGATGTTTATAAAAAATATCACCCAAGTCCTTCTCTCAAGTCTGCCTTAATTGAGTCTTTATAATACTTCGGTTCTTACAGAATTTCTGATCATAAAAATGAGAATATTCAGAGACACAGTTTGTAAACAACACGAGTATCAAAATCAACCCCGTCCCCAGGCCTGGGGACGAGGTTGTATCAAAATATGGCGTCAGAAAGAATTCATGTGGTGTTTCCACTTTACAAAAACAAAAACTATCGATGGCGAGATTTCGCAACAGATACAATACTGTAATGGAGAATAAAAGCAAAAACACAAACGAAAACTGAAATTAACCCATCCTCATGGTACAGGGTGGACTCTTTTGAGCAGAGGAAACTGATACATCTTTCTCGCAGCGATTTGTAAAATACAGGGAGAAATTCGACGTTTCGAGCGAAGTTCTTTCGTTGGGAAGTTAGTTCTCATCGTCGAGAAGTTTGTCCCAGACGAAGGGCCTTCGCTCGAAACGTCGAATTTCCCTTGATTTTTCACGCACTTCCATTCCTATCAACCAAGTTTTGCTATTATTGCCACTAATAATCTACACTGTGTCCGTTCAAAATTAACTCTCATATACAGAATTATAACCACTTACCTCTTACATCCTCCTTTTCATTATCTCTCTGCTAATGTTCTGAAAGTCACGATATAAAGCGACAAAAACTAAAATGGAAGTCAAGTCCATTCTGCGCATCGGTTCTGCTCATAACAATGTGAGGATCTCTGATTGAAACATTGCTCAAATTTCGAATGTTTCGAATTTTTCTGGACCTAAACTCAATTTCATTTTCATTGAGAAGCATAGCGAACCAAAATGGTGTTAGTACATCATATTGTTAAAAGAATACAGCAGTTCAAAATGTAAACAAACCGTTTGTTTACCTACGGACTTGACTTTGTTCATCTTCAGGCAAAATAAACAAAGTCATAACAAAATGTGGGAAAATTCCCGCCATGAGCGAATTTACTGAAACGTCATCGATGCATCATTTCAGATTGGACGAAACGTTTTGCCGCCTGCGAGAAAATTGTTTCCCCTTTCTCAGCCTGCAAACAAGCTTTTCAAAGAGAACCTGTTCACAGGCTACTTTCTCATTGGCTTATATGCATTGTGAAGCGAGTTTTCTCATAAATTAATCCATTGGGAAAACTCAACATCCATAAGAATAAATCAACCTGACGCAACAAAAATATAATGTACGCTTGCATAAAAAATACAATAATATTGGCTTCGCTAATTATTCACAAACGCGAATCAATTATACAAAAGTATTATTACCATTTGCGATCAACCTTGACGATTTTGGACTGGTCAATATTTATGGTGAGGGGTGGCACCGAAGAGAAAAGGGTTGGGTAAACAAAATTTTGAGTGAGTAAATAGTTTGGTAAATGAAAAACAAAACAACTCAAGGAATGGGTAATAAAAATTTATTGTCATTTCCAAAGGATGAAGACTAAAAGGCAATGTCAACAGTGATATGTCAATACAATATGTAAATCAATCAGAGTCACTGTCTTGATCATTTTCCGATTTCTCATGCAGGTGGCAAATGGTAGTCCAAAGAAAGTACATGTACAGACAACATGGAACTTTAGACTGCAGAAATTTGCGCACTCATGTCACAGAAATGGTAAAGGACACGTGTGACAACTGAATGGTATCCTTTTGTAAAGTTTTTGGCCAGGGGTGGGCAAAATGTTTTCCAAGAAAAACATTTCTCTTCGGCGCCATCTACCTGTTTTATACACTCTGCATAAAGCGCGTTTCACAGTAGAATTTTGTCGACGATTTTGTGTTCCCGGATGGTCGTGACGGATGCAAATGAGTGAACTCGCACTCAAAAGTATAGAGTCGCTTTGCAGAAGTAAACAATTCTCTCTTTTGCATGCCATTCATTCAATCACATTTGTCAGGAGAAAAATCGCTAACAGAATTGCTAGTATGAACCAGGCGTAAGAACGACTTCAGCCTTTAGCCCTGGGCAAACTAGATGTTTCCCGATGTTTCCTCAAATGTAGTCCCTGTTTGCCCACCCGTAGAAACATTGTTAAGCATGTTTCCTAGCGAATTCAGAAACATTTGATGTTTCCCTATGTTTCTCACTCAGGGCCGTAGCTAAGCATGCATAGTTGGGGGGGGGGGTTGGGTGTAACAGGCCAAAAATTTCCGAATGACGAAAAAAAATTCCGAATATTTCATGGCATACGAAGCCACGAAGGTGTTTTCTATCCGGAAAATGATTAAATGAAAACGCAATTTACAAACAAAAATAGCAATTCGGTAGAAAGTTATTTTTGATAAGGGGGTGGCGAGGGCCGAAGGCCCGAGGAAATTTTTAGATTTAGAGTCTCTGAAATGCCATTTCGTGGACTTTGGGGGAAGTTTTGACAGAATTCTGATGGTCAGAAAACAGAGTTTTAGCACGTCGAAATTTACAATTAATTTGCTTACAATTTAGAAGAACTAAATGGGCGAAGACGTATATGGGTAATATGATTCTTTGCGGTTTGTCATGGGTATAATGTAGCCGCTTAAAATTAATCAATTGTCAGTATTTTAAAGATATATTGAGGGCTGCCCCTCCCCCGCCCCCATTGCTACGGTCCTGGGAAGTAATAAACCGAAAAACATTTACCGAGTCTACGATTTGTTAAATGTTATCCATGTAAATGCCGTGATTTTGTAAATCAGTTTATGATACTGACAATACAATATATTTTATAATATTTTCTTTGTTTAAACAACTAAAATTTTGTTATACTATTACTGCCGTAATTTTCCGAATGACCAACCCGATTTTCCGAATATGTTAATTCTAAAAAAGTTGGGGGGGGGGGTTAACCACCCCCCAATACCCCCCTTCGCTACGGCCCTGTTCTCACTAATGTGTCCAAGTGTTTGCCCACTCTTGGAAACATGGCGAAACATTGGTAGAAAACAATGTTTCCGCAACAATGAGTCCTAGTTTGCCCAGAGCTTAACCTAACATAAAAATAGTGGTTCTTTTACGCGGGTGTGTACTGTATAAGCTGCTTATTGAATATATTAGATAAAGTTTCTGCATTCAATGAGCTAGCCAATAGGGGACGAGGCTGAGCTTTCAGTGCAAAATGATTAGTGGTTGATAAAAATATTGCGTGACCCCTGTTGTGACTGCCATTTCCCTTTAATTTGGGAAAGGGGTGCATTCATAATCACAAATTCTGGTTAAATTGTTCAAAAGAACGATGAGCACAAAGAAGACAATCAGTTAAGCCTATTTTCACTTAATCTTTTCAAATTTTATATCGAATTTTACATGGCCTAATATTCAATCTTTCAATGAATGAAACGTATCAAAAATTGTGTCTGAAAATGCACGAAATCAACCTGTGGGGCCGGTTGTTCAAAGCTGGGTTAATTAGCTTAACCTTAGGTTATCCTAAAGTTCAAAGCAAACTTCCTGACAACTTGTCTATGAATTTGGAAATATTTCTCCAGCGATCCAATTGTCTGGATCCATAGGAGTTTACTTCTCTGAGGTTTTGAAATAAACAGACGTGCAGAAATACACAAACTAAAACAGCAGGTTAAATTTTAACCAAGGGTTAGCACTATCCAACCTTTCAACAACCGGCCCCTGGAGAATGGAGGCTAAAAAGTAGAAACAATTCTGAATAAGCACCCCCAGGTCCCCCGAAAAGTTGTCTTTTACAAATTCTCAATGCCTAATCGGGTCCCTTTTCTTACTAGGTTCCCATTTAAAAATTTCATAAAAATTCTACTGTTCTGGATTTCCCAGTACAATACTGAATAACTTGTAATCTAGAGTGCTGTATTCCTGCTGGACATGCTGCGATTACAATGCATTCTAAACTCCCAGGGGTAATGAAGATTGGGTGTTTACAACAAAAGGGTGATTTCTAAAGGTTCATCTTTTTTCAGACACTCTGTATTCTCATTAATGACTCCGTCGTGGTGCGTGCCATTTTGTTGCAACGTTTCTTCAAAAGTTGCAATAAGTTCCTTCACCTTTTTCTTTGAATTACCATTACTGAATCGATCATTCTCTTTGTTTAATGCAAGAGGAGATATCTTTATTTTGTTGCTGTAGGTTCAACTTCTCTTTCGTCTCTTTTAAATCCTGTTCTAAGTAATCGATTCGTCTCCGTAGTTTATCGATGACTGTTTTATTTGGGTCTTCGTCTGTTTGGCATGAAACGGA